CTCTCAAACTATACTTAACTCTGATTCATTAGTCCATGATGAAAAAGCCTTACCAATTTCAAGATTGTCTTTCTCACATGACTCCTCAATGAAGATTGAGAAAGAGACATGACCCAATTGCCCCTTATCCTTCACCTATCAGTCCTTCTGAATGAGCTAAGATTGAATGATGAAAGGTTGGAAGGTGTCAAGGGATCATGCTATGAAAAGCCTGGATAGGCTGCCAGGTATCACACACAATTCATAATTTTCAGAGAGGTCACTTTCAACAATAACTATAGTCAAATACAACAGTGGCTACTAATGTGAATACCAGGTCAAAGATAGGATGGTGGCTTCTGATTTAAAAAGAGAGGACAACTGTCCTAATGCAAAAGACAGGTTGAGCATGATACCAAAACCAATGATGCAATAATGTATATATGTCAATCCTTCAACTATATCCCCATGAATGTTAACATAGTCAAAGACACTACACAGTGTATGTCAGAAAATCAGACTACAAACTTTTGTAATTTCAGAAAAAAGCAGACACTCCAAACTTTTGTAGTGTCAAAAAGGCAGACTAGACAAGCTTTTGTAGGTTCAAAAAGTGGACACTACAAATTGCATCATGGACTAATGAATCAGAGTTAAGTATAGTTTGAGAGAGGAGAGTAACTATTAACATGAAAGGATAGAATAGGCTCTACTTATGTCAAAGACAAGTTGAGCATAATACAAAACCACTGATGCAGAAATAGATAGATGGGTGTCAAGCCAACTCAATCCTTCAGCCATAACCCCATGAACGATAACATAGTCAAAGACATTACACAGTGTATGTCAGAAAATCAGACTACAAACTTTTGTAATTTCAGAAAGCAGACACTCCAAACTTTTGTAGGTTCAAAAAGTGGACACTACAAATTGTTGTAGTCTCAAAAAAGCAGACACTACAACTTTTGTAGTCTTGAAAAGCAGACAATACAAACTTTTGTAGTCTCAAATAGCAGACACTACAAACTTTTGTAGTCCAAAAAAAGGGGACACTACAACTTTTGTAGTCTCAAATAGCAGACAATAGAAACTTT